CAAGTCAGGCTACGTCAGTCTGGGATGACGCACTTCCACTCTCAGCTCTGTCTTGACCGGAGTACACTTTTATCGATGGTATTTACGCTCACCCTGGTTAAACTGCTACTCCCCTCGCTGTCTGCTCTGTGGCTACCTCACGATCAAGGTGAGCACCTTTGCTTTGACGACGGAACCCTATGGATCTTACCTGGACATGTTCATTGCTCAACCGATTCAGGTGTGTATGCTCTGAGCATGATCGAGGATGCCACCTTGAGTCCCCAAGTCGAACCGGTCAGATGCTGGCCCGAAGTTAGGTGAGCCATCTCGGCACCTTATTTGCTACTTCGCATTTTTGAGGAACCTATATCCTTACTATTTTCAACTTCTATCAGACGTCCTCTCGTTGGTGTTCTGACTTTACCTTGTGGGGATCGTTGCATCTCTGGTGGCGGTGGCTACATCGCTGCGAGCTACGTCAAGTGGCTGGAAGCCGCAGGAGCTCAGGTGGGGGAGTATGCATTGCAGTTGCGTCTGTGATTCGTACTGTTGGCCTCTGCGGCGGTGTGCGATCAGGTTGTGCCTATCCCTCATTACGAGACGCGCGAGCATATCATGAGGTTGCTCAAGATGGTTTCCGGTGAGCCTCGGTTGTTGGATCCTCAGCTGGATTACTACTCTTGACCTCCAGGTGTGTTATTTACTGGCGGAGGGGATCAAGGAGTGGAGTGGAACAATTCGACAAAATAGATCGTTGAGGCCAGAGCAACTGACGAGCTCAAAGGATTGCCCATCTGGGGGAGTTGCCTTGGATTCGAGCGTCTGATGCAAATAGGTGAGGCCATGCGCTTCGCATGACTGCAACCGTGGGTATAAGGCTCGCGTGATACGAGTCTTATACCCACTGCTATCTCTAATTGACCAATCTTGAGAGACTGGATGTCTCCCTCATCTCAGCCGCTGGCAACGACTCGATTTTGGAGCACACACCTGGTGCTGATGATGTGAGCACTAAGATTCAGCTGTAATGTTGTATCGCTCGTTAAAGGTATCATTGCGACTGAATTGGAGAAGCGGTGTGGAGTCGGCGTTAGTGAAGGATAGAGGTGCTGCCCAGGTTAGTACTGTTGTATCAGGCGTTGTGTGATGGGTGTTTCTATCAGGCCGTACAGGCTACTTCCGCTGGGGACATGACGTACAATCATCACGATTGGGGTGTTTGGGTCGATCAACTCTCAAGGTGGGTGGTGGAGGATCATAGTTCTAACGCGGCCCTTTTTCCATCTATGCACTGCTAGTTTCCCCGAAGCCGAGAAGAACTTCAAAGTCTTGGCTACGTCCACGAGTACTGAGGTTGACAGGGAGTTCATCGCTGTTGTGGAGGGTCGAAACGAATTCGATGGGGTATGGGCTGTTCAGGTGATTTCAAAGTTAACAATCTTGTGATGTCATTCATGTGGTCCTTAACGACGCTCAGTTTCACCCAGAGAAACCGTCTTACGAATGGAACTCGAAGCTGTCAGTGGACCACTCTCGAACTTCTGTCGAGGCAAACAGGTTTTTCGCTGATTTTTTCATAAGCCGTGTGCGGG